CCCCCCCCGTTTCGGGTATGTAAATCATATACGATTATGACCACATGTCCATCTTAACTGTGAATTTGCACTATCCCGGAGGGGCCAGGATCGGTTCCCCTGAGGTTCCCTTTGTAAAAAAAAACGATGCGCGGGGACATCGTTTGTTCTAGCATAACACTTTTTCACGAATCCCTTTGCAAAAGTGGGACGAAGTGCCCACGCGCGCGTCGTCGCGCGCGCATGCCGAAATCCTTCAAGAACCTTCGGTGCCGGAAGGATTTCGCAATCGAGTTTCTTCCCCAAAAACATACACAAACCAAGGGTTTCGCAACACTGGGTTTGCTAAAAACCTTCCGCGCGAGTTCTTGCGAAATCTTAAGAGAACCATCGGTTTATCAAGATTTTCACAACATTCTATCAGACGGGCTTCGCGCGCGCATGTCGAAATCTGTCGAACGCCCTTGCGCGTGTGCCGTCGCGAGAATCCTCTTGCAAAAAATGGGACGAAGTGCAGACGCGCGCGTCGTCGCGCGCGTATGCCGAAAACCTGAAAAACCCATAGGTTTCGGAAGGATTTCAAAATCGTGCGTCCAAAACACCCACAAAAACACAAGGTTTCGCAACACGGATTTTCAACAAAAGCGTGCGCGCGCGCTCTTGCGACGTCGTCGTCGTCGTCGCCGTCCTCCCTCCTCCCGCGTCGTCGTTGTCGTCGTCGCCTACGTCGTCCTCTGTCTTTCCTCGTGTTCGTCGTCGTCGTCCTCTGTGGCGTCGTGGTCGTTTCCGTCGTCGTTGTCGCCGTGGTCGTCCTTCCTCCTCCTCCCTCGTCGTCGTCGTCGTCGTCCGTCGTCGGCGTCTCGTCGTCGTCCCTCCTATTTCGTCGCCGTCGTCGTCATCGTCGCTGTCGCCGTCGTCGTCCTTCCTCCTCCCTCGTCGTTGTCGTCGTCGGCGTCGCCGTCCTTCCTCCTTCTTCGTCGTTCGCGTCGTCGCCGTCCTCCCTCGTCGTTGTCGTCGTTGTCGTTGTCGCCGTCGTCGTCCTTCCTCCTCCCTCGTCGTCGTCTTCGTTGTCGACGTCGTCGTCGTCTTCGTCGTCGTCGTCGGCGTCGGCGTCGTTGTCGTCGTCGTCGAAGTCGTCGGAAACGTCGTCGGTGTCGTCGTAGTCGGTGTCGTCGGTGTCGTCGTAGTCGGTCTTAAGAGGTTTTGCAAACCAAGTTGCGGGTGGGTGGGTGAGATGTTTGCAAGAGCGTGGGATGTGTCAAATCATGGGTAAAAAACCATTTCACCACATAGCTTGCACCACAGTGCTTGCACAGCTATGCTTGCACCACATTGGTTGCACCGCACAGTCCACACCACGTTGCTTATACCTCGCAGATTCCACTGCGCATCTCACACCACATAGCTTACACCACATAGCTTTCACCACATAGCTAACACCACAAAGCTTGCGCCACTTAGCTTACACCTTCACGGTGCAACAATTTATGTTTGGGGGTTCGCGCTGGACATATTCATACTTCATGCTTTGTGACCGCCATTCCAGCAGGGAGCCGCGCTCGCACAACTGGCGCCCCCCAAGTTCGACGACGAGGCGCTGTCCAGGCTCCGCTTCGGCCTCCGCCGCTGAGCCCCCCCGTGGGCGTGCGCCCGGGCGCCCCGCGAGTCCAGAGGGGCTCCGAGTACGCGGGAGGTGCTTTGAACGGCGTGGCGGGGGGCTCGGGGGCGTTCTTCTGAGGCTCATCTTCTTCGTCCTCCTCGGCCTCCTCGTCCATCTCATCCTCTTGGTCCCCTCCCTCCCGCTTCCCCGCTGGCCTCCTCGTCTGAGGGCTGGCGCACGGGCTTCTTACCCCCCCCCTCACCCTGTCCCCCGTTCAACCGTCGCCCTGATTCTCCACATCGCCTGGCCCCTCTCATCTCCCGCCTCCCTCGGAAGATTGGTTGGTCAAGAGCCGAAGTCCAGACGGAGGTTCCAGCCAGATGGGCAAGTTGAGGAGGGGTAGGATGAGGTGCAGAGGGGGATGGGGGAGGAGGCGGATGACGAGGACGCAGAGAACCAGGAGGAAAAAGGTTAGACCAAGAAGGAGGATGATGATGAGGATGATGATGAGGAGGAGGATGAGGATGAGGATGAGGAGGAAGAGGAGGAGGGGAAGGAGGACAAGCTAGGTGCGCTCGCGTCATATCTGACGTCCTACCCTCCCTCCCATTTCTTATCATGGCGCAGATCTCCTCCCTATTCGCACAATCGGATGTCGTAGCGTGGCGTAGCATTACATGGCATAGCATGGTGTTGAATATTCACGCGTAGCATGAGATAGCATGGCGTGGCGACGCCCCAAAATAAGTGGGGGGCTTCTGCGGCCCATCAAATCAAAAAATCGGCACCGAATGTGTAATCACTTCCGCATGTAGGGTCCGGTTCGGTTCGGTTCGGTTAGGTTCCGAAGTGCGTCCAGTTCGGTTCGGTTCGCGGTTCGGTGTCGGAATTCTCTGGTTCGGTTCTGTTCGGTTCGTCGTTGTGAGGGGTGCCGTCTTGTTCGGCCCGGTTCGCCATGCGTTTCGCTCCGGCTCCGGGGGGTTCGCCACGGAGCAGTCCCGGAGGCGATTCTGCTAGTCAAGAGGTGTCTTTGCAAGTCCCCGACGTCATTTTGCAAGTCCCAGGATTGCAAGTCCCGAAAGCCATTTTGCAAGTCACGGACGCGTTTTTGCAAGTGCCGGAATCGAGTTTGCAGGTCCTGGAGGCGATTTTGCAAGTCTTGGAGGCCATTTTGCAAGTCCCGGAGGCCTTTTTGCAAGTCCCCGATGCCTTTTTGCACCTCCTGGAAGCTACTTTGCAAGTCCCGGAAGCCCTTTTGCAAGTCCCGGAAGCCTTTTTGCAAGTCCCCGGAGGCCCCCCGAGGACTTGCAGAATCGGGGCCCCGGGGTCTTCCGGGTACTTGTAAAATCTGGGTCCCGGGGGGGTTCGGGGGACTTGCAGAATCGGAGCCCTGGGGGGCCTCGGGGCCGAACGGCCTCGAGACTTGCAAAATCAGGGTCCTGGAGATCTCCAGGTCATGGCGGTTCCATCCGGTTCGGCCCGGTTCGGTTCGAAATCGATTCCGATTCGGTTCGGTTCGGTTCAAAGTTGTTGGGTCTCGTTCGGTTCCAGTTCGGTTCGGTTCTTGTTGATAAATAGTGCTGTTCGCGCCGGTCCGGTTCGGCCTGGCTCGGTTCGGCTGGTTCGGTTCGGTTTTTGAGTCTTCCTGCTTCCGATGGTTTCTTCGGGAGGCCATGTTTTAGATTTTGGGGCTTATTTGGAGGGGCCGAAAACCATGCCGTGACATGGCACTGGAAATAAAGACGCCAGCGCTGCAGCGGGAGCACAATTGGGAACGACCAGAAGCGCGGAAATGAGGCCAGCGCTGCAGCGGGAGCACGATTCGGAATGAGCGGTAACCCGAAAAAGAGGTCAGCGCTTCAGCGAGAGCAGCCTTTTGAACAACAATCAAGCGCGGAAGCGTGGAAATGAGGACGCGCAGCCTGACACAGCATGGCGTGGCGACGCCCCAAAGTGGGGGGCTTCTGCGGCCCAGAAAATCAATGAATCGACAACGAATGTGTAATCACTTCCGATAGTTTGTTTTTGGGGGTGGGGGGATTTTCTAGATTTGCGGGCAATTCGGAAGGACCGAAACGGCATGGCGCAGGAAATACTGACGCCAGCGCCGCAGCGGGAGCACGCTTCGGAACGACCAGAAGCGCGGCAATGAGTCCAGCGCTGCAGCGAGAGCAGTGTCTTGGGAACAAAAACCGTCGAGCACCCGTTTCCGGGAAATCCTGTGTGTAAAGGACCAGAGCGCGGCGGGGGGCCGGCCACTTCCTGGACGCCAGCAGGGGAGAGAAGAGGGTTATATTCAGATTGTCTAATTGTGGAGGAGCTAGGGGACGAGGAGGAGGACGACAAGGACGAGGACGAGGAGGAGGAGGAGGAGGAGGAGGAGACGGAGAGGGTTCATTTGGCGAAGGAGGTCGAGGAAGAGAGGAATAGCATACGGAGGAAAAAGGGGAGTCATGACAGGATGTGGTGATGTCGGAGGAGTGTGAGGGGAGGGGGAGGGGGAAGATGATTCGGAACATGATGAGGAGGGAAGAAAAGGGCGAAGGAGGAAGAGGAGGAGGAGGAGGAGGCGGAGGGACGATGATATCGACGACGACGAGGGGGCGGAGAGGGCGAGTCAGGTCAGAGGGAAGATGAGGAGGGAGGATGAGGGGGAGTTGGTGAAGGCTGCTACGGCAAGGGAGGAAGGTGCACGGTGTTCGTGCAGGTATGTGTGTTCGCTCTCGCCTTCCTCTAGCGTGTGTCCTCCCATTTGGGGGGGTCAGGCGGGTGGGGCGAAACCACGGGGACATATCACGAGGATTGGGTAGATTCCAGTCAACACGTTGGGATAATAATCACGCGCGGTTTATGTGTCCCCCCCTTTGGGGCTCTTTGACATGCCCTTGATCTAAGAACGGGGCAAGTGGGCCCAGTCTTGATTTCGGTAATGTTTAACACGATCTTGTATGTACACCCTGCAGCACTTTCCTCAGGAGTTCTGGTGCTATCGTTGGATTGTAGGTCAAGCGGCAGCTCAAGCGAAGATTGCTGGATCGGTTCCCAACTGAAGTGCTGCTGTATGAGGTGTAAGTTCCAGCACGGGTTGTGTATTTCAGTTGTTTGTGTGTAGACGCTTGTGTCGTTGTGGTGCGAGGAGGCGCAGGGACAATATTATGCGTATGTGGAAGATGAGGACGATGATGCTGATGCTGCCGCCGATGATACTGATAACGATTGTGAGTGAACGAGGGGGAGAGGGCGGGGGGACGGGTGTGTTTCGTGTTTCGGCAGTGTCCCAGGAGGAGCAGCAGTAGGTGGGTCAGCATCGCCCGACGCTCATCGCAGTTTCTTTGCTGGGCCTGGTCGATCTTTCAGGAACTCTCCGTCCCAGCCCTCCTCTTCCTCGTCGTCGTCGTCGCTGCTGTCCTCTCCCGTCCGCAGACGCCTTGGCCCATGTGATTCCAGGGCCCTCGTGCCCAGCCAGAGCCATACCACTCGTCCTCTCTCCATCGCGAGGTAACTGCACCCCGTCGCAGTTCTGAACCCATGGCAATGCAGCTCGTGCTGGCGGCCCTCCTGGGCCTCTCTGCGTCCGCGGGCGCTGCCAAGAGCGTCGCCAGGAGCCAGGGGCCGGTCCAGAAGATCACAGACCTGCTTAAGGAGATGAACGACCAGTTGCAGCTCGACGAGAAGTCGGAGCAGAAGATGTACGACAAGTATGCGTGCTGGTGCAAGGACGCCTCCGGCAAGAAGGCCGAGGCCATCGAGACGGCACAGGCCGATCTGCGAGAGCTCGGCCAGAGCATCCTGACGCTCAAGGGTGAGACCGCCACCCTGGCCGCAGAGATCGCGAAGCTCGAGGCGGACCTGGAGGAGAACGCGAAGCTGCAGGAGGAGGCGACCGCTCTGAGGGCGAAGCGGAACGAGGCGTACCTAGCCTTCACGGCGGAGACGAAGCAGGCGATGGTCGCCCTGGAGAAGGCCATCTACGTGCTGATCAAGGGGGCCACCGCCACCCCTGGCGAGGAGGCCGCACTTCTGCAGACCCAGGGCCGCCAGGTCGTTCAGCACGTCGTGGAGTCCTTGCCGAGCATGGCCAATCTCAAGGCCTCTCAGACGGCCCTGCTGGCCGAGTTCCTGAGGGGCGGGTCGAAGTACACCCCTCAGTCCATGAGCGTCCAGGGCATCCTCAAGGACATGTACGCGACCTTCGCCACCGACGTGGAGGAGGCGACCAAAACAGAGGCCGACCAGAACCGCGAGTTCGAGAACCTGATCGCCACCTTGATCGAGCAGGCCAACAACTGGAAGGCAGAGAAAGCGGCAAGGGAGGAGCTCAAGGCCGAGAAGGAGTCCACCCTCGCCGACGAGTCCCAGCTGTACGACGAGACCGAGGCGCAGATGGAGGCCGACATTGCCTTCTTCGACACCACCGCGAAGGCGTGCGAGGCGAAGCACGCTGAGTGGACCCTGCGGTCAGCCCTGCGAGCGGAGGAGATGAAGGGCATCCAGGAGGCCATCACGCTGCTGTCCACGGACGAGGCCAGGGAGCTGCTGGCCTCCGCGATCAAGGAGGGCAAGGAGGTTAACGCGGACACGTCCGCCTACGACACGGGCGCGGACACCCTCGGCACGTTCGCGCCGGCGCTCGTGCAGGTCGGCAAGGGCGACTCGCGGAGCCCGGTGCTCAGCGCCTACAAGGCCCTCAAGGAGAAGGCCACATATGCGAAGAGCCTCCGCCTCGCGGCGCTCGCGGCGCAGGTTCACGAGGCCAAGGCCGGCCACTTCGATACAGTCATCGCGGCGATCGACAAGACGGTCCAGGACCTCAAGGAAGAGGAGGCCGCGGACATCGCGAAGCGCGACCAGTGCAAGGAGGAGATCACGCAGTCGAACTCGACGATCCTAGACCTTACCTGGAAGATCAAGTGCAACGAGGCCAAGATCGACAAGCTCCAGCGAAAGATCGAGGAGAAGCAGGCGATGATCGCGGAGTCCAGGCAGGTGATCAAGGAGACCTACGCGTACATGAACGAGACGACGGAAATCCGCACGCAGGATAATGCCGATTTCATCCAGGCCAAGAAGACCGACCAGTCTGCCATCGAGCTGCTGGTGACGGTGCGAGACACACTCTCCAAGTACTACCACCAGAACACAACGGGCTTCGGCACCGTCCAGGGCGCCGTCAAGGGCGCCGCGCTGACTCAGAAGAGGGATGAACCAGAGTTCAAGGTCTCCGAGTTCGAGGCCCCGGACGCGACCTTCTCCAAGTCCACCCACCGCATCGGCGAGGCCAAGGGCGTGGTGTCGCTGCTGACGATGGTCATCGAGGACCTGAACGACGAGATCGCGAACGACATGAAGTCCGAGGAGGCCGCGCAGCTCGCGTACGAGGAGCAGATGCACGTCGCCAGGGTGTTGATTGCGCAGAACGAGGCCAAGATCGTGTTCCTGGAGGGGGTGATCGCGAAGACCGAGGTGGAGAAGGCGGATGAGATTGAGCTGATGAACCAGAATTCGGCTCTCTGGACGGATGAGAAGACGTTCCTGGACGGCATCTTGCCCGACTGCAACTGGGTCTTCAAAGCTTTCTTCGAGCGTGCCGACAAGCGCGCCGCGGAGATGGAGGGCCTGACCGCGGCGAAGGAGTACCTCGTGGGGTACAATCCGAACGCGGACGTCGGGGCAGGCTACATCGCCGAGCAGCTGCCACAGGTCGCAGATCAAAAGCAACAGCGTGACACAAAACACAGAAGTACTCGGGACCCCTGCGCGGAAGGTTTGTGCCGGTGCCGGGCAACCCGTCCCCGGCGCGCGAAGCGCGGCCCAGTGCCGACTCCAGCCGCCCGTGCGGGCCCCCGAAAGCTTCGTCCTCGTGCCGTTTCGAAACGGCATGAGGAGGGGGGGGGAGGACGGGAGGAGGGGGGGGGGGGAAACGTTTCCCCCTCCTCCTCCTCCCCCCCCCCGTTCTCTAGCAGGGAGCCGCGCTCGCGCAGCTGGCGCCCCCCAAGTTCGACGACGAGGCGCTGTCCAGGCTCCGCTTCGGCCTCCGCCGCTGAGCCCCCCCGTGGGCGTGCGCCCGGGCGCCCCCGCGCGAGTCCAGAGGGGCTCCGAGTACGCGGGAGGTGCTTTGAACGGCGTGGCGGGGGGCTCGGGGGCGTTCTTCTGAGGCTCATCTTCGGCGGCCTCCGCCGCTGAGCCCCGCCGCGGGCACGCGCCCCGCGCGAGTCCGGAGGGGGGCCCCAAACTGCGCGGGGCGGAGGGGGGGGGTGGCTTCGGGAGGTGCGGCGGGCCGCCTCGGGGACGTGCGTCTGGAGCTCCTCTTTGTCTCGGTCTTCCTCGGCCTCCTCGTCCATCCCATCCTCCTGGTCCCCTTCTCCTCCTCCTCCTCCTCCTCCCTCCTCCTCCCCCTCCTCCCTCCTTCCCTTCCCTCCCCTCCTCCTCCCCCTCCTCCCTCCCTCCTCCTCCCCCTCTCCTCCCTCCTCCTCCCCCTCCTCCCTCCCTCATCCCTCTCGTCCCCTCCCTCCTCCTTCCCTTCTGGTCTCCTCGTCTGAGGGTTGGCGCAGGGGGGCTTTCGCCCGAAGGGCTCCTCGTCGTCCTCCCTCCTCCCTCCTCTGTCCCACCCTCTTCCTGCTTTTCCTCATCGTCTGGCCTCGGGAAGCTGGTGGGCATCAGAACAGCGAAGCACAGAGACTTGACACCAGCAGTGGCCAGGCAAGACGGCAACGACGAGACCGACCGACAGAGCATCGCTGGTATTTCCGCCACGTTTTACGAACTGCGTTACGGAGAAAGCGACTCCGACAACGGACGTTCGACGCACGGCTGCCACCCCCCTGTCCCCCGCCGCGAAGACCCAGGGGCCGAGGTGAAGCAAAACTAAATACCATGTTTTCACGCAGGGCGAGGTACACACAGCAATCAATCAACCCCAAAACGCAACACGGAAGGACACAACCGGTATCGTTGCAGGCATGTTGAGAGCAGGCGGGACGTGAATAGAACAGGATTAGCCGTGCTTGTTCAACGACCTCACTCATCCAGAGCAACCGCCACCAGAACATAAAAGGCGTACCACCGTCAGTGTGATCTTTAAATCAGGGGGCCCAGAACGATCACATAACTACAGGCCAATTGCAAGCACCCTTCTCCTATCCAAGCTTACGTCTCGACTCCTGTACCATCGACTGGGTCCACCCTTAGAGAAGCAACAGAGCGTGGACCAAGCAGGCTTCAGACACGGCTACAGCACCAAGGACCATCCATTCACGACGGACCTTTTGCACAACCAATCAAAAGAATGGCAATTACCACTATGGGTGGCAGGGGTTGACTTCAAGAACGCGTTTGGTTGCGTCAGCCACGACGCTCGATGGCAAGCAATCAGTGAGCAGCAGGTGCCGACATCCTACATCCACCTCCTCCAGCACCTCTGTACCGACCAAGCCGCTACAGTACGGACGGACATCACAGACAGAAAATTCAGCACCCAGCGAGGTGTGAAACAAGGGGACCCACTGAGGCCCATAATCTTCAACGCACTACTTGAACGCATCTTCCGACGCATGAAGGACACATGGCGCAAACAAACAGTTTGGCAGACAGACGGGCTTCACCACAGACGCCCTCCTCACCAATCTCGGTTTAACAGGCGACTTGTTACAGTGTAAGCCGGACTTGCGTTGGAGTTACACGTAGACAAGACAAACACATTGACTAACGCAACATCGAATGTGGTAGTGTCGAGATATTGGACGCAACGCAGGGCGCGAAGTATTTGGTCAGGAAGTTTACATACCACGATTTTCACAACATTGAGATCGACAACATAATCGCGTCGATTCGGCGTTTGTTCAGCCAGCTGAGGCACGAATGGCCACACAAACACGATCCTTTCGCAAGCCGTCTGCGCATCTTTAACGAGACCGTGGCGCCCTGGGTCATGCACGGATGCAGCTTGTGGGCTCTAGCCAAAAGCATGGTTACATGACTGCAGCGTGCACAGCGGAAGTAAATCCGAATCGTCGTGGGCACTGGCCGAAGACTCACACGAGGGAGCCCCAGATCGACGACGAAACTGGCAACGCCAATGAGGAGGGGGAAGACGCAGGAGAGCGCGCAGGGCCTGACGAAGAACCCACCGGGAGCAGTCCAGACATCGACAGCAGCAGTAACAAACACGACTCCGACAGCGATTGAAGCACCAGAAGTGACAACAGCGACGACGACGGCAGAACCAGCAGCCATTCCGACGGAGAAGAGCCATGGGCGCAATTCATTTAACGAGCGACGACGCATGCAGCCGATGCCCATGTCTGACGCGCGCAGGGCGACGATGGAGCTTCGCACGACTTCGGAACATGATGGAGATGGGCTGGCCAACTTGCAAGTTTACCCGCCGAACGATGGGCGCGACGTGCCCCGCCACTTGGAAGCTGCCGCTGCATGACAGAAGTTCGCCCAGCGAAAGCACGGCGGGCAGCTGAAGCGCTGGCACCACGAGATCGCGAAGTGTTTAGAAACCGTGGGTATGATTGACCACGGCAATAGACTCCCGATGATAGAGAATGCGGGTGGCGGTTTGCACTGGCGCGCGATAGTTGCAATGGGCAGAAATCCGAAGACACGTTTGTAGGATATGTTACATTGTAAACCATCGGGGCATATACGACAAGAGCTGAGAGATCTCGCCCGCCCGCGCAGGTCCGAAACCGATCCAGGGCAAAGTGGGTGTATATATATATATATATATATATATATGTGTATATATACATACACGCATATATGTATGTTGATATATATATATAATTACATATATAGTACGGCCTTCGGCCCATCCCGCCACCGTGCCTGAAGTGTTGGTATACAGCCTGTTGGATGTTCGCTAGGATCTCGGGGGAGGGGTTCTGGGACCTGCTGGAGGCGGTCTTGAAACATCTTAGGGGCCGTTTTGGGCGTCTCGGGGCCCTCCTGGGCCTAGCGGGAGCCGTCTCGGAGCCTCTTGGGCGCCTCTTCAGGCCTCCTGGGGCCTTAGGGCGGAAGGCTCGGATTTTCGATTCGTGGTCCTTCTCTTGGGTCCCGTTTGGGGCCGTCTTGGGGCCTTCTCGGGCCGTTTTGGGCGTCTCTTGGGCCGTTCTGGGGCGCCCTTCGGCCGTTTGGGGGCCTTTGTTGGGGCGTCTTGGGCCGTCTCAGGGTGGTTTTGTTGACCTCTTGGGTGGTCTTGGAGTACCGGAAGTTGGAAAAGCGACAACGCCCAAAGCCTTCCAACACCGTAGGTAAACCATTAAGTTCTAGATTTGGGGCGGCCTTGTGGAGGGCTTTTGTGGCGTGTTGGAAGCCGCTTGGAACATCTTGAGGCCATGTTGTACAACCAACGATTAATTTTTTAATTTGCATATTTGTTATTAATAAATTTTCATACTCACTTCATTATGTTTATTGGTGACCATATTTTGGAACGACCGTTCGGCGACTCGGGGCCCTGTTGGGTTCATGGGACGGTTTGGAAGGTCGCTTCGGGGGGGGGGGCGCAGCGTCCACAGGAGGCGCAGGAAACACCTCAGAGCTCACAGGGGCCAGCCCGAAAAAACCCAGAGAGGCTTAGACAACGATTGGTTTGGGCCCTCAAATATTAATATTTCTCGCTGCAGCAGCAGCAGCACAACGTCTACCTTCCAGTGCTGCGCGAGCCGTAGGGCATTACGGTATTACATGTCGTGCCAGAGGCACGGTGGCGGATGTGTGTATGTATGTATGCATGCATGCATGCATGTATGTATGTATGTGTGTCTGTCTGTCTGTCTGTCTGTCTGTCTGTCTGTCTGTCTGTCTGTCTGTCTGTCTGTCTGTCTGTCTGTCTGTCTGTCTGTCTGTCTCTCTGCCTGTACGTGTGTATGTAAGTATGTAATGTATGTAATGTATGTAATGTATGTAATGCATGTATGTGCGTGTGTTTGTATTTATGCATAGCTGCCAGCTCCAAGCTTTCGACCTCCACATTCCGACACCCAGTTCCCACTTCCGCATATGATCTCCACCTATCGACCTCCCACCTGACCAGGCCAACCTCCATGTTCCAGCTTGCGACTCCCAGCCCAGTGGTCCACCTCAAGCTTCCGACCTCCACATCTCGACCTCCAGCCTCACGTGACCGACGCCCAGCTTCCAGCTTGCGACTCCCACCATCCCCTACAGCTGACGACATCCAGGTTTCCGCATCCAACTTTCGACCTCCACCTATCGACCTCCCACCTTACCTGCCTGACCTACATCTTCCAGCTTGCAACCCCCGCCATCCACCAAAAGCTGGCGACATCCAACCCTCGACCTCCAGTTTTCGACCTCGATCTATCGACCTCCCACCTCACCGGACCGATCCCCAGCTTCCAATTTCCTACTCCCACCATGCACCAACAGGCGACGACACCCATCCTTCCAACACAAGTTTTCGACCCCGCTGATCGACCTCCCATCTCACCGGACCGATCCCATCGGCTTCCAGCTTGCGACTCTCAGCGCCCATCACCAGCTATAGTCACCCAGTTTTTCACCTCCAGCTTCCGACCTCCGCATCTCGACATCCAGCCTCACCTGACCGACGCCTAGCTTCAACGTTCGACCTCCACCTATCGACCTCCCACCTTACCGGCCTGACCCCCAGCTTCCAACTGGCGACCCCCACCATCCACCAACAGCTGACGACGTCTGACCTTCCACCTCCATCTATCGACCCCCCGCCCCACGCGGCCAACTGTCAGCTTCCGACTTCCAGCGTTCACCTCAAGGGCCAGATCTTTCGCCTCAAGGGCCAGATCTTCAGCCCCGACGGGCCAGCTATCCGCTGGAGATACACCGGCGAATTGCTGCAACAGCATGAGCTGAGGGCTGTGTGTCCCCCCCGCGCAGGCCCCGAAGGGCCCCGCCTTCGGCGTGACCGCGCGCTCGTCTCGCCTCGCCTCCCTCCCCTCGCCGCTGTCCCGCTCTCGTCCTGCTCCTTCTCATCGCCTGGCCCCTCCGGACCGGCTGGTCAGAAGCCACAGGTCTGGACGGGGAGTCCGGTGAGGGGCCACAGGGGCAGATCGACGAGGGGAGAACGGGAGGATGAAGACGAGAACAAAGACAATTGAGAGAAGGAAAGTTTGGAAGCTGGGAGGAGGAGGAGGAGGAGGAGGACCACACTGTTGAGGAAAAGAGGAGGGTTAGGCGAAGGAGGACAAGTAAGAGGAGGAAGAGAACGGGGGAGGGATGAGAGAATGATGTGAAGGAGGGTGAGGAGGAGGAGGAGGAGGAGGAGGAGGAGGAGGAAGAGGAGGAGAAGGAGGAGGGGTAGGGGGAAGAGGAAAAGGCATATATTGTGGAGTGAGCCAGAGGGAGACAGGGTGAGGAAAAGGAGGGATGAGATTAACGATGACGTCGAGGAGGCGGAGAGGGTGAGATGAATCATGCTGATTATGTTATTGCTGTTGCTTCTGATGGTGATGACGACGAGGAGGAGGAGGATGAGACTGAGGAGGAGGATGTTGGTAGTGGCGATGACGATGATGGTGATGATGATGACGGCGACGGCGACGACGACGATGATGGTTTTGGTGGAAATGATGACGACCATGATTATGATGATGACGATGACGTTGGTGATCATGGTGGTGATGATGATGACAGTAATGATAATGCTGCTGGTGATGATGGATGATGCTGGTGATGATGATAGTGGTGATGTTGATGATGATGATGGTTGTGGTGGTGATGATGATGAGTATGATTCCTGGTAGTAGATGTTGACACAAGACGGTAGATGATGATGGTGATGTTGATGGAATGTATGTTGATGTTGATGGTGATGCTACGGATGACGTTGATGAGGATGATTGGGAGGGTGATGGTGAGGATCATAATGTTGATGTTGATGAGGATGATGTCGCTGATGATGATGATGGGTGAAGATGGATGGTGATGGTGATACGGATGATGATGTTGATGATGCTGATGCAGCTGATTATGATGATGGTGCTACTAATGACGATGACGACAATGGTGATCATGCTATTGTGGGCAATGATGATGATGCTGATGTGATTGATGATGCCGATGCTGATGCTGATGATGATATCGATGATGATGGTTGTAGTGATGATGAGTTGAATGAGACTGCTTCGGCAGCGAATGCCGGTGTTCGGTATACGTGTAGGTGTACGTTCGATTTCCTCGTTAGCACGTCCTGGCAAAGTTTTCGGGTGACGCGGTTGTAGCGAAATCGTGGGTAACGGCCACGAGCATAGGGTATACTACAGTCAACACGTTAGGATCATGAACGCGTGTTGTTTTAAAGTGGCTCGCTATTCCGATTGCCCCCCATTGGTTCTAGCTGGATATTTTGGTACAAGAAGGGGTTTTAGGCAGCAATTGCCTATGTCAGCTTCTTCGCAGCGTGACTTTCACTACGCTGGTTCGGAGTGTGTGGCATCCTGGAGCACTCACGTCAAGTGAGCTGGTCTGGTTCATAATTGGTAGGCGTAGCAGCTCGTTGAGGTTTAGGATGCGTACTTGGTAGATTGATGACGTGCCCCCCGCACACGTTCTGTTGCATGTTCGGTGCGCAAGGGCCAGCACGTGCCGTGGCTGCAGGTGCTTGTGTGCAGACACGTGCGTCGTCGCGGTTGCTCGGAGCAACAGGAGCAGGACAGTGCCGATGTGAAGGAGGAGGAGGAAACTTATACTGATGATCGCGGCCGATGGTACTGATAGCGGTCGTGATTGCAGAAGAGGGAGGGAGGGGGATGATGAGCAGGAGCAGGATCAGGGGCTGGAAGTTCATCGTGGCTTGTGTGTGGCGTCCAGCCGAGTCTGAGGAAGCACTCTGTCCCAGCCCTTCCTCTTTTTCGTCGTTTCTGTCCCGTTCCGTCCGTAGACGCCTTGGCCCATGTGATTCCAAGGCGCTCGTGTCCAGCCCGAGCCATATTGCCCGCCCCCTCTCTGCATCGCAGAGGGGCTGCGCCCCAATCGCAGTTCGCAGCCCATTGCAATGAAGCTCGCGCTGGCAGCCCTCCTCGGCCTCTCTGCGTCCGCGGGCGCCGCCGAGAGCGTCGCCAGAAGCCAGGGGCCGGCGCAGAAGATAACGCACCTGCTGCAGGAGATGAATGAGCAGCTGCAGCTCGACGAGAGGTCGGAACAGAAGATGTACGACAAGTACGCCTGTTGGTGCAAAGACGCCTCTGGCAAGAAGGCCGAGGCCATCGAGACGGCACAGGCCGATCTGAGAACGCTCGGCCAGAGTATATTGTCGTTCAAGGGTCAGGTTGCCACCCTGGCCGCAGAGATCGCCAAACTCGAGGCGGACTTGGAGGCGAACGCGAAGATGCAGGAGGAGGCGACCGCCCTGAGGGCAAAGCAGAACCAGGCTTACTTTGCTTTCACGGCGGAGACTAAACAGGCCATGGTCGCCTTGGAGAAGGCAATATATGTGTTGATCAAGGGGGCCACGGCCACCCCTGGCGAGGAGGCAGCACTTCTTCAGACCCAGGGCCGCCAGGTTATCCAGCACGTCGTGGAGTCCCTGCCGAGCATGGCCAAGCTCGAGGCCTCTCAGACGTCCGTGCTGGCAGAGTTCCTGGAGAGTGGGTCGACGTACACCCCTCAGTCCATGAGCGTCCAGGGCATCCTCAAGGACATGTACGCGACCTTCGCCACCGACGTCGAGGAGGCGACCAAAAACGAGGCCGACCAGAACCGCGAATTCGAGGACCTGATCGCAACCCTGATCGAACAGGCCAACGGCTGGAAGAAAGAGAAAGCGACAAAGGAGGAGCTCAAGGCCGAGAAGGAGTCCTCCCTCGCCGACGAGTCTCAGTTGTACGACGAGACAGAGGCGCAGATGAAGGCCGACATCGCCTTCTTCGACACCACCGCGATGGCGTGCGAGGCGAAGCACGCCGAGTGGACCCTGCGGTCAGCCCTGCGAGCGGAGGAGATGAAGGGTATCCAGGAGGCAATCAAGCTGCTGTCCACGGACGAGGCCAGGGAGCTGCTGGCCTCCGCCATCAAGGAGGGCAAAGAGGTGAACGCGGATACATCCGCGTACGGCACGGGCGCGGACACCCTCGGCAAGTTCGCGCCGGCGCTCGTGCAGGTCGGCAAAGACGGCTCGCGAAGGCCGGTGCTCAGCGCCTACAAAGCCCTCAAGGAGAAGGCCACGTATGCGAATAGCCTCCGTCTTGCGGCGCTCGCGGCGCAGGTTCACGAGGCTAAGGCTGGCCACTTCGACGCAGTCATCGCGGCGATCGACAAGATGATGCTGGACCTGAAGGACGAGGATATTGCAGACATCGCGAAGCGCGACCAGTGCAAGAAGGAGATCACACAGTCGAACTCAACGATCCTGGACCTGACCTGGAAGATCAAGTGCAACGAGGCCAAGATCGACAAGCTTCAGCGAAAGATTGAAGAGAAGCAGGCGATGATCGCGGAGTCCAGGCAGGTGATCAAGGAGACCTACGCGTACATGAACGAGACGACGGACATCCGCACGCAGGATAATGCCGATTTTACACAGGCCAAGAAGACCGACCAGACTGCCATCGAACTTCTGGTAAAGGTACGCGACACACTCTCCAAGTACTACCACCAGAACACAACGGGCTTTGGCACCGTCCAGGGCGCCGTCAAGGGCGCCACGCTGATTCAGAAGAGGGATGAACCAGAGTTCAACGTCTCCGAGTTCGAGGCCCCGGACGCGACCTTCTCCAAGTCCACCCACCGCATCGGCGAGGCCAAGGGCGTGGTGTCGCTGCTGACGATGGTCATCGAGGACCTGAACGACGAGATCGCGAACGACATGAGGTCCGAGGAGGCCGCGCAGCTCGCGCACGAGGAGCAGATGCACTCTGCCAGGGTGATGGTTGCGCAAAACGAAGCCAAGATCGTGTTCCTGGAGGGAGTTGTCGCGAAGACCGACGAGGAGAAGGCGGACGAGCTGGAGCTCATGAGCCATAATTCGGATCTCCAGAAGGGGGAGAAGACGTACCTTGGCGGCATCTTGGCCGACTGCAAGTGGGTCTTCAAGGCCTTCTTCGAGCGGGCCGACAAGCGCGCCGCGGAGATGGAGGGCCTGACCGCGGCGAAGGAGTACCTCGTGGGGTACAACCCGAACGCGGATGTCGGGGCTGGCTACGTCGCCGAGCAGCTTCCGCAGGGAGCAGCACTCGCGCAGCAGGCGGCGCCCAGGTTCGACGACGAGGCGCTGTCCAGGCTCCGCTTCGGCCTCCGCCGCTGAGCCCTTCCGCCCCCCCGAGCGTTCGCAGGTCCCGGCCGGGCCTGTGTGTCGACTGTGGCTCGCGCGCCGCCGCACGCGAGGAGCGGCCGCCGCGCAGCGCCGTCGAGGCTCGTGCACGCCTTGCGCGCGCGAGCCCTCGGGCTCCTCTGCTCGCCGCCTGGCACCACCCCTCTGCGTGCAGGGCGCCCCAAGAGAGCTTCGCCCCCGCGGAGCCAAGGGGCCCCTCGCGCGCGCCCCGCGTGCTGGCTCCCTGGGCCTACTGCAATCGAGCCGTTGCCATCAAGAGCGCAACACACGGCGCAGAGCGCCTGGGTGCACGAGGAGGGCCAGAGGAACCGTTCCAAGATGACCCAAGGAACAGCAAGCCCCTTCTGAATCCAGGGCGGTCCTTGTTCCAGCGTCTGGGCTGCGGGCTGGCGCCTGGGGCTGCCCTCCCTCTCCGTGCAGGGCGCTTCGCCAGAGGGCTCCGTCGTCGAGGCCTCCGAGGAGTCGACACGTCGCCCTCTTGGCGGAAGCCCGCGGGGGGGGGCCAGCGGGGCACTGGCGGAAGTACTACCGGCGTGGAACTGGATCGTCCTCCCAAGATCGTCATCGCTGGACGATAGGCTCCTGGATGACCCCTATCCTTATGCTGGCTAACTCATCGCTTGGCTCCCGGGCGATCCCACGATGGAGCCGATCCCACGTCCCAACGCTTTCGACTGCGTGTACTCCAGACTTCGTAATAAAAAGGGAGGGGGTCTCAACCCTCCCAGACGAGAAGTTTTAGACCCCCCCCGTGGGAGAACCCTCCAAAACATCGTCCCCAGACCCCCCCAGGCCCTCCAAGATAGCCTGGAAGATACCCCCCCCGAAATGAGACCCCCCTCCATTTATTACGAAATCTGGAGTAGCCGATGAGTGACATCACCTGATCTCGATGCCGATCTTCAGTATTCCCTCGGTTTCAGAGGGCGCACCCCTAAGATCATCATGGCATCTGGGCTTGTCAGCCTCAGGGGCAGGGGTGGCATCCGGGCTGGTGAAAGTAGGGGCATCGGCGGCTTCGGCGGCGAGAGCTGGGCGGGAGCTGGCGGCAGTAGGAGTCCACCTCCAGAGAGAGATAGAGAGAGGGGTCAACGCTATAGGGCACCTTCAGGGGGGGGGTCGGAGTCGGTCGTATGGTGATTCTGCTTCCGGTGGCTCGCGCGTGGATGCCACACCTGGCGCGCGGAGCGGTGCGCTCCCATGCGGGAGGGCGGAAGATTGGCAACGACGCGCTGCCGTGGGCAGCCCGTCGGCGTGTGCTTCCTTTGTTTTTTGTGTTCGAGGGCGGGGCATGTCTTCAGCAGTCGCGCGCCGATGGGCTCCCCACGGCGGCGTGTCGTGGATTCTGTTTCTGCCCCCCCCTCACCTAAGGGCCTTGGCATCGCTCGGACGCGTGCATTTGTTCCCCGGTGGGGTCCATCGAGGAGCATCCTTGATCATTTGGCGAGAAAACCACGCACGAAAGCGAAAAAAGCGCAGGGAATGGACGTCCGAGCGATTGCGAGTGGGCACGTGTGCGTCGTCGGCTGGAGGCTCCCCCGGACACGTGTGCTTCTGGCTTCGTTGCCACTTGCGGCCCCCCACCGCCTCCTCCTCCTCCTCCTCCTCCTCCTCCTTTTCCTCCTCCTCCCTCCTCCTCCTCGTCCTCCTCCTCCTCCGAGCATCCCCCGGACCCAGGCGAGCAGCCCTGCACTCTCTCGCCGGACGCGCCGCCGGACCCGTCGGGGGCGCTGGTGTTGCGAGTGGGGCGGGCGGAGCAGCCAGGAGCCAGCGGGCGGAGCAGGGAAGGGGAGGGAGGTCGTGGCGGGCTAGGGAGGAGGAGGAGGAGGAGGAGGAGGAGGAGGAGGAGGAGGAGGAGGAGGAGGAGGAGGGCGCTCAGGAGGGAGGAGGAAGGAGGGAGGGAGGGAGGGAGGGAGGAGGAGGGGGAGGAGGACATCGAGGAAAGAGGTGGAGGAGAACACCGAGGAGAGAGGGAGGGGGAGAACACCGAGGAGGGAATGAGGAGGAGGAGGAGGAGGCGGAGGAGGAGGAGGACCAGGACACCAAGGAGGATACCGAGGAGGCAGGAGGAGGCGCACGTCACGTCGGGTCACGTCACATGTCGTCAGTCTGCGAGCGAGCGATGAGTTGGCGGGCGAGAAGGAGAAGGCAGTCGCGGAGGAGCAGGAGGAGCAGGAGGAGGAGGAGGAGGAGGAGGAGGAGGAGGAGGAAGTGCCGATACACCGGGAGGAGAGGGAGGAGTGGGAGGAGGAGGAGGAGGAGGAGGAGGAGGAGGAGGAGGAGCAGGCTGACGATGAGAATGTCGAGGACGAGGGAGACCATGTCGAATGAGGTGGAGGAGGAAGAGAAGGAAGAGGAGGAGGAGGAGGAGGAGGAGGAGGAGGAGGAGGAAGTTCTTTGCAGTTGGCTAGGGCCCGGCATTGAGTAGCTATGCGCACGTTTCGAAGTCCTGATGTGACCTGATGTGGGAAGACTTTGGGCACGTTTCTCGTAGATCTTGATTTCTTCCTTGAGGTCCCCCATGGTTCGAGTGGGTCCTCGAGCTCGCGGGAAGTTCCAACATTTCTGCAGGGCTCCTTCTGGCAGGATGGCCGGCTATTCTTCAATTGTACATGGACCATTATCGGAGGATAGTTGCAGGCAGGGTGGGGGATGAGGACGAGGATTATGGTGTCGTGACTGGGGGGAGAGGATCGGAGGTGAGGGGGTGAGATCGAAGTGGAACGGAGAGCCCCCTACCGGGAAATCGGTTTCGGTTTCGTGCTCGTGCGTGCCGTGCGTGCGGGCGAGGCGAAGCTGCGTGGGCGGGCGAGAAGAACGCTTCCTCCAGCCGAGGCGCGGCCGGACCAGGTGATTCCCTTCCGGCCACCGGTGCCGCGCGGTGTCCCGCCGGGGTCCCGCTGTGGCTGAGGCGCGGCCGGACCAAAGGATTCCCCTCCGGCGTCCGGTGCCGCGCGGTGTCCCGCCGGGGTCCCGTCGGTGACCGCGCGGGCCGCGGCGGCGGACGCGCCCCGCCCAGGGCCACGCGCGAGGCCGCCGGCGGCGGCCTGCCCGCCGCGGGCGAACGGCGCCCTGCCGGCCTGCCCGCCGTCGGGCACGGGCGCGGCGGGCGGGCTCGCCTCCCGTGGGCGTCAGTCGGGCCTGTCCTTTAGCAGGAGGGAGCGTCAAGCACAGTAGACAAAGAATGCGGGGACGATTCTTCGACGACGTCGAGCATCTTTGCAGCATGTTCAGTGCATTTTGCGTTTTTCCCTACCTAGGCTCTGCCTAGAAGGGTTCTTACTCTGAGGCTTGAGGGGCCGGGCAGTGGAACCCGCCCCGGGCGTGAGTCGGGCCTGTCCTTTAGCAGGAGGACAAGAAGCACACAGACACAATTAATCCTCGATTCCCAAGAAAAGAGAGGAAAATAGGGGAAGGGGGGGAAGACAGAAACCCCAAAGATATGGGGAAATATGGGGAATCTTTTTTACTTGTGTGTATTCATTTGTGTGTCCTGGTGCCCCTTCACCTTTAGCAGGAGGGATCGTCAAACACAGTAGACAAAGAATGCGGGGACGATTCTTCGACACCGTCGAGCAGCTGTGCAGCATGTTCAGTGTATTTTGCGCTTTCCTGGCAACATCCGCCTGTAGGGGGACGTGCCCGACCTAAGCGTGGGCCCTGAAAACGACAGGGCCCTGGTTCTGCCGGTTCCGTTCCGCCGCGCTTTTCTTGCCAGTTCCGGCGCTGTTTTCTTTCCCGGTTCCGTCCTCGCTTCTGTTGCCGGTTTTCCGGTTCCGTTTCATGTTCTGGGGCAGTTTTTGGTGCCGTGTCCGGTCGCCGTGTTTCTTCCTGGAAAGGGCGTGGGCCCAGGGTATTCTTTTAGTAGGTCTACCCCCAGAATCGACGGGAAGAGGGCCGGCGATATCATTTGCGGTAAATTACGAGGATGTCCCGAGCGAAGCGCTTGCTTTTTTCCCCAAATGTTTCGGGGGGAGGTCGGGTTTTCCCCACATGCTTAGTGGGGTTCTGGTTTTCTCCCCTGCTGTGTCGCACCCGCGTCTCCTCACACACACACACACACCTCCCTCTTCCCCTCCTCCTCTTCCTCTCCTCACCCACGCGCAACACATGCACGGCACGTACATGAGACACGCGTCTACATACAGCCGCAAGCATGCACACAATTCGCACACTCAGTGCGGCCTCTATTCGTGCCAAGGTCTGAGAGCGTGGCAGGCGTGGCATTTTCTCGACACCAGATGGGGGTTCGCACGTGGTGGGGGCGCCATCCGTTGCAGGCTCGCAGAGCGTGACAGGCGTGGCATTTCCTCGACACCACAGGGGGTGCGCTGGGGGTGGGGGCGCTATGCGCTGCAGGCTCGCAGGGCGTGGCAGGCGTGGCATTTCCTGGACGCAACATGGGGTGCGCTGGGGGTGGGGGGCGCTATGCGTTGCATGCTCCCGCTATGCGTTGCATGCTATTGCTTGGCTAGGTACTTGCTGAACCCTTCGTCTGCATCATTCTCGCAAGTTTCACGTCAGCTATCATCGCGCCAAACATATTATAAGTATGTGGGTTCCTCGGTAGCGTAATTATTCCTTGCCGCGTCGCACCCTCGTCTCACTCACCTCCCCTTCTCCTTCCTCCCTCACCCTCGCGCAACACATGCACGGCATGTAATTACATGACACACGCGTGTACATCGACACCGCAAGGGGTGCCCTGGAGGTGGGGGCGCTATCCGTCGCACGCCCGCAGAACGTGGCAGGCGTTGCGGTTTCTCGATACCACAGGGGGTGCGCTGGAGGTGGGGACGCTATTCGTCGCACGCTCGCAAAGCGTGACAGGCGTGGCAGTTTCTCGACACCAAAGGGGATGCGCTGGCGGTGGGGGCGCTATCCGTCGTACGCTCGCAAGGCGTGACAGGCGTTGCAGTTTCTCGACACCAAAGGGGGTGCGCTGGAGGTGGGGGCGCTATCCGCCGTACTCTCGCAAAGCGTGGCAGTCGTGGCAGCTTATCGACACCACAGGAGGTGCGCTGGAGGTGGGGGCGCTATCCGTCGTACGCTCGCAGATCGTGGCAAGCGTGGCAGTGTTTTGACACCAGAAGGGTTGCGCTGGAGGTGGGGGCGCTATCCGTCGTACGCTCGCACAGCGTGGCAGGCGTGGCACTTTCTCGACACCAGAGAAGGTGCGCAGGGCGCCGTCTCTCAGCGCGGCCTTGATGCGTGCCAGGGTCGGAGAGCGTGGCAGGCGTAAAACTTTCTCGACGCCAGAGGGGGTGCACAGGGCGCGGTCTCCCACCGCGGCCTCGATGCGTGCCAGGGCCTGAGAGCGTGGCAGGCGTGGCACTTCCTCGGCACCAGAGAGGGTGCGCAGAGGGTGGTCTCCCACCGCGGCCTCGATGCGTGCCAGGGCCGGAGAGCGTGGCAGGCGTAAAACTTCCTCGACACCAGAGGGGGTGCGCAGGGGTCGGTCTCTCAGCGCGGCCCCTATACGTGCCAGGGCCTGAGAGCGTGGCAGGCGTGGCACTTTCTCGACACCTGATTGAGGTGCGCAGGAGGTGG